TTCATTTCTCCAACACAACATGGCAGCCTGCCGTTACTTCAGGGCAGGCTTTACTTCTTTTCCTGATAGTAACATCATGGCAGGAGCCCCTGACACCATATTCCCCCTTATTTAGAAAAAGAATCCGAGCCTGGGGGCGAACACCAGAGCCAGCACCCTATAGAGGAGAGGGCAGTACAAATTCTGGCAATCCTTTACACCACAGCCTGAAACTGCTACTGTTCCCAGGCCCTATGATCTCTGAGGAACCCCCATCCCCAAAGTTAGGCTGGGAACATCACTACTCAGAGCTTCTGTGTTCTCCTGCACCATAGGTTTTTCTGCTGTTTGATTTCTTGATATCCCCAATTCCATCTGCTTTATCTATTCCAGAAGTTACTCAAAATTGTTGATCTACTGATGAGACCCCTCACCTATTTTCTATCTTTGGTTTAGGTTCATTGTAATTTTTATATCACAAAATATAAGGACCGTTTCACGAAGACTTTAGGAGGGAGAGGAAGTACATGTATGGCCTCAGGCCATCATCTTGAGCCAGAAGTCTTAACAGTATTTACTGAGTGAATTTTACGTCAGATCTTTCTAGTTTGGAATGCTAAATCCAAACACTACGAAAAAGTACTGCAGGCCAGGTCTAGGCAATATGGCACTGACATTATCTGGAAAGCCATCTGGGTTTCCAAATACATCTTATGCCTTGTGATGCTGTCCCATACTCACTGAAGCTCTACTCATTTTTTTTTCAGTCTTTTTTCTCTATCTCCTTCAGACTGGATAGTGCCTAACTGATTGATCTTTAAGTTCACTGACTCTTCTGCATCTCTACTTTGCAGTTTAAATGGAATCAGTAAACTTTTTATTTAAATTTCTCAGTTCTGGAATACGTATTAGGTTTTTTTTAATAGTTTTTATTTCTCTGCTGAGATTTGCTATTTATTCATTCATTACAAGCAGATTTTCCTCAATGTCCTGAGTACAGTTACAACTGCTGCTTTAAAATCCTGTCTACGGAGAGTCTCGGTGGCTCAGTCAGTTAAATATCCAACTCTTGATTTCAGCTCAGGTCGTATCTCGGGGTCATGAGACTAAGCCCCATGTTGGGCTCCCTGCTCAGCAGAGAGTCTGTTTCAGATTCTTTCCCTCTGCCCCTCACCCCACTTGGGCACTTGGCACTCTTTCTCTCTCAAATAAATAAATCTTTAAAAAAATAATAAAAATGAAAATAAATAAATAAATTTCTGTCCACTAAATTCCGAAGTCAGGATCATTTTGGGGTGAGGAGTGACTACCAATGCGTACGGTTTCTTTTTAGGGTGATGAAAAAGTTCTAAAGTTGACTATGGTAATGGCTGCTAAAATATTCCACAGAAGAAAATCTCAATTTTTCAGGGCGCCTAGCTGGCTCAGTCAGTGGGGTGTGCGACTCTTGATCTTGGGGTTTTGAGTTCAAGCCCCATGGTGGGTGTATAGATTACTTCAAAATAAAATCCTTTAAAAAAAAAAGCTTTATTTATTTGAGAGACAGAGAGACAGCACGAGTGGAGGGGCAGAGGGAGAGGGAGAGAGAATCTCAAGCGCACTCTGTGCTGAGCACGAAGCCCGAGGCAGGGCTCGATCCCAGGACCCTGAGATCATGACCTAAGCCGAAACCAAGAGTTGGACGCTTAACCAACTGTAGCACCCAGGTAGGTCCCCCCGCTTAAAAATAAAATTAAAAAAAAAAAAAATAAAGTTCAATTTCTCAATTAACAGCAAGTCCCTTATTCTAAGTGCTGATTTAGCATCAATCCCAAGTGCTAGAATTTGCTAAGAAATAAATTAACTCCTATCAGACTATAGAGATATAACAACTAGTTTCATGTAATACATGAAACTTGCTTGGATCCTGGTTCCTATAGAAAACTATAAGACATTTTGGGGACAGCAGAGAAAATGTGAATATGAGCTATTAGATGATACTAAGGAATTATGCCAAATTTTACTAGATATGATTACGAGGAGAATAGTTAGGAGTCATACTGAAATATTACATGTCATGAGGTCTACAACTTACTGTCAGCTGATTCAGTTAAACACACACATACACACACAGGAGGTAAATACTGCAAAACATTAATAACTGTCAAATCTAGGCAGTGGGTGCTAACTATACCACGCTACCAATATTTCTGGATATTTGAACTTTCATTCCAAAAAACTGGGGGGAGAAGCTACGTAGCTAAAAAGAAATTTTATTCAGGATTTTCAGCCACTTAATAATTAAAATCCACATAATGTTAACATAATTTTATTTTGGCAATGATTTTTCATCCCAGGGATCCTTATCAGCTAACATTTTTCTACCTATTACCCCAGTTACCACAAGATGTCACTCTTCCCATGTTCAAATCAAAAGTCTTGCAAGGGAAAAGGCCGTTATCAGTACTAAATGGAAAATGCACTCAACTTCCAAGTTAATCTGAAAAACTTTAGAACCTTTTATATTTAGGAAATAAAGTTAAATAAATCCTCTCAGTTCACAGACAATGAAATACAAACTAGATATAAATGTTAAGCTCAAAGTTTTTTAAAATTTCAGATAAGAAAGCTTTATCTGCAGGACTATCATATCTTCAAGAAAACAGTCCCACAGTCAGCTACTTTAGTATCCAAATGTCTCAGAATGTTCTAAATAACCCTGGGGTCAATCCAGAGAAATGGGGCCAACTAGCCAGAGCTCAGAACTACAAGACATGTTTAGGACTCCTGCAGATAAGCCACTCTCTCTTGGAACTACTTCAGATCTCCCTGGGGTGCCTGGGTGGCTCAGTCGTTAAGCGTCTGCCTTCGGCTCAGGTCATGATCCCAGGGTCCTGGGATCGAGCCCCGCATTGGGCTCCCTGCTCAGTGGGGAGCCTGCTTCTCCTTCTTCCTCTGCCTACAGCTCCCTGCTGTGTGGTTTTGCACACTCTCTTTCTTTCTCCCTCTGTCAAATAAATAAATAAAATCTTTAAAAAAACAAAAAACCTCCCCACCTCTGCACCCACAGCACATGGGATCTGGCCCAACACTGTGTTTGCCTATTAATCCTCTGTCAAGGAATAACACACTGTCAGAGCCCAATGGAGCAGTATCATGAACCAAAAGATTTAAAAGCTTTAACTAACATATCAAAAAACGGTTATTCCCCTTCTCCTTGTCCCCACCCCCAACCTGGGCATCATTAAAGTGTACTACAACTTAAAATTTGTTAACATTTGAGGAATCTGGATGAAGAATACATAGGAATTTTTAGGAAGTATTATTTAGAAATAATTCCAAATTTATAAAAAGGTGCAAAAACTGGTACAAAAAGCACCCATATACCATTTTCCTCAGATTTGCCTATGTTAACAGTTTACCCATCCGTTTTCATCATTTGCTATCTTGTATCCCTATTTATCCGTCTCTTTCTATCTATCCCTGATGTTTTTCTTGAACCCTTTAAGGATATACATCATGGGGGCACCTGGGTGGCTCAGTCGTTAAGTGTCTGCCTTTAGCCCAGGTCATGATCCTGGGGTCCTGGGATCGAGCCCCGCATCGGGCTCTCTGCTCAGCAGGAAGCCTGCTTCTCCCTCTCCCACTCCCCCTGCTTGTGTTCCCTTTTTCTCGCTGTCTCTCTCTCTGTCAAATAAATAAATTAATTAAATCTTTAAAAAAAAATTTAAAAAAGGATATACATCATGGTTCTTTACCCCTAACTATTCAGTGTGTGGTTCTAGAGACATTTACTTACGTAAACACAGTACGGTTATCAACTTCATAAAGCTTATACATATGTTTATCTAGCATCTTTTTTTTAAATTTTATTTATTTATTTGAGAGAGAGAATGAGAGAAAGAGAGCACATGAGAGGGGGTAGGGTCAGAGGGAGAAGCAGACTCCCTGCTGAGCAGGGAGCCTGATGCAGGACTCGAACCTGGGACCCCAGGATCATGACCTGTTCCGAAGGCAGTCGCTTAACCAACTGAGCCACCCAGGTGCCCTCTAGCATCTACTTTTGACCAGTTTTGTCATAACATCCTTTATAGCATTTTCCCTATAGTACTAGACCCAGCCTAGACAAAGGCATTACATTTAATTGTCCTGTCTCCCTAGGCCCCTTTAATCTGGAACTTTTCCAAAGGCTTGTATGACATTGGCATTTTTGAGGACTACAGCACCTCTTGTGCTTTTAGTAAAACATACTTTATTTTTTATCTATTTAATGTTCTTTATGATTAATTGAAGTTATGCCTCAGCCAGAATACGGCTTAGCTGATGCTGAGTCCGATTCTGTGTGCCTCTGTCACTTACACGATGAACGAAAGTGTTGCCCAAATTTTTCCACTGTATAATTCCTGGTTGTTTCTTTTTCCTCACTTGCAACATAATAAATAGTCTGTGGGAAGCCATTTTAAAATCACCCGAATTTCTGCTCCTCATCAAATTGTCAACACAGAAATGCTTTGCACTATTTTTGTAACTTTTTTGTTAAGTCTGAAATAATTATCAAATAGTTTCAAAAAACTTAAAGCAACTTAAAATTAGAGTTTCAATTTTACCAGATCATAAAATCTCCTTGGTAGGGAGGAAAATCAGACAACAAATAAATACCTGTGCCTTAGACATAAGATTATGAAGGATCGATTTGTCTCAGTATACTTGCAATCACTAAAAGTAAACAATAAATGGCTTTTCCTAAGACCTAGAAATAACAATCAGCTTTTCCTTCAAAGGATTTTCTATAACTAAGCACAGTTTTAAAGCAATGCTTCCACTTAACAGTTCTTCCTTAGGAAAAAAAACAGAGCAGTCCAAAGATGACTGCCTACTGTGTGAAACACGCTTAGCCACATGCGTATTTCTGCTGGGTACCGTCTACTGCACCTGCATCACTGCAGCAGTCACAGCATTCCATTCTGTTACTGAATGCAAACTATCCCCACTCGCTGAGATGGGTAAGACAAAAAGGAATGAAAAGGTCCCCCATCACTTACTCTCTAAATCGGAAATAATGAGGTTGTCATGGAGTTTCACGGCTCGGTGTTGTTCTACTTCATCTTCAAGTTCAAAGATGGTTTCTTTCATGTCGCTCCTCTCTGTTTCTTTTTCTTCTAGCTCGGATCTTAGTTTCTCTAATGTCACATTCAATTCTTCTATTTGTTTCTTAGCTTCTTCTTGGAAGGCTCGGTATTCATCTTCTACCTATACGGAATCGATGGTGCGGATTAGAAAAGTGAGAGCTGCTCTAAGAAAAATTCCAGAATGGAAGTATACACTGTTCCAAAGGAAGCTGAGCGTGAACTGCTAGGTATGAACTAAAACCACCTGTGTAAAAACTGTCTGAAAGTATGAAAAAGCACTCTACAATAATACAGGATTTTATGTAATATGCTTAAGCATAATTTGTTGCCACATCACTGACAAATTATATTGACATATCACTGAACTTAACTAGGTTATGAGGAAATTTTGGTAATTCTTCCTTCAAAGTTTGGACAGAAGGCATGCTTTTGATTAATAATTAACATCCTCTCCCACCAAAAAAAAAAAGTCTGATGTGTGACAGTTTCATTACCAAAATAAAAATGGAAACAAATTCTCAAATACTGTCGCTGCAGAAGTATCAGCTCAAAGTGCCCTCCAACACATATGTTCCAACAAATAATACATTCCCTAAATTGTATCTCTAAACATCATCACTAAAATAATTTAAATTATTTGAATTTTGGCCAAAGATATACTAATGTTTCTTACTTTAAAAATCACTCCACTAAAATAAGACATAAAATGTAAGACAGAATCATTGGATAACTCATGCAAATAAACCCTGCATCAGCAATCACATGGGGCACAGACCCTTGGCCGGAGCGCCAGCAACCCCAGCTGTAGTTCTGCAGGAGTCTTCATTATTGTGGTAGATGTAAAACAAGGGGGCCGGACCCATGATCGCTAAGGTCCTCGCCAGCAACAAGACAGCCCTCTAACAAACAGGAACCTCCATACTCCAAAAATATTTTTTAACTCAAAACAACTCTATTTGAAAAACTACAACCACAGGAAAAGGGGGAGACATTGCTGATCCCACAGACAGGTCTACTGGCTCTCATCTTTCCTATGCCAAAATGCATCAGAAATGAGGAGGTAAAATTGCATGATATGACCCCCTGGGCACACCCAGATTAGAGACAAATTCTGTTGTTGTCATTCTAGTCCCTTCCTCTCACAGGCAGGAAAACAGTAACAAAACGCAAGTGAGTGAAAGTGACATTTTAAGAATACTTTTTACTATATCCCAATAAAGAAAACCACTCTCAAGGTTTAAAACAAAATCAGCCTTAAAAAAGTGAATGACAGGGGCGCCTGGGTGGCTCAGTCGTTAGGCATCCGCCTTTGGCTCAGGTCATGATCCCAGGGTCCTGGGATCGAGCCCCGCATTGGGCTCCCTGCTCAGCGGGGATCCTGCTTCTCCCTCTCCCACTCCCCCTGCCTGTGTTCCCTCTCTCGCTGTGCCTATGTCAAATAAATAACAATAAAAATAAAATAAAATAAGTGAATGACACATCACACAAGTGATACTGGCTTTCAGTAAGTATGGTGTGTACTGCAGCTGCATAATGCTGCTCCAGAACATTTTATCTACCTGAACAGTACCTTTGCAATGGTGTCCTGCAATCGATTGGCATCATTTCGGGTGTGAGCTAGGTCTTCCTGCAGGCTACTAGCCAGAGTCTCTGCTTTTTCTTTGTCCAGCCTGACACTCTCCAGGAGATCCTGAATATCAGATTTGTCTCCAGAGTTATGGATGGAATACAGCTCCGCCACTTTCTGCTTTTCATTCTCCAGCTGAGCTTTCAGGCGGTTCATCTCTATCTGATCACTGGCCACTGTGGCTTTGTACTCCTCTAATGTGGCTGCCAAGGCTGCTTTACCCTTCTGCTCAGACTCAATAATTCGCTCCATATGGTGATTGCGTTCTTTGAGCGCCCCTATCATTTCTTGAGCTTCCTTGTTGTCTTGTTCTGCCATCTTCAAAGTATTGCTTAAATGCTGCTGGACACCGAGAAGCTGCTCTCGTTCAAAACGGGCATTCTCTGCTAGGTCCATATAACGTTGCTCCAATTCCATATAGCGTCCACTTTTCACATCCTCGTCTATGACATAAGAAATGTGATGCTCATCGAGAAGGGAGCGGAAATATTCAATTTGTCGGCTAAAGTGTTCCAACTTATCACTCTGCTGACATAAAGACTCCATAAGAATAACCTTCTCTTCTCCCAGCCTTTCATTTTCACTATTCAGTTCCTGGGTTATCTGCTGTAAATCAGCTAGCTCTTGCAGAGTTGCCTGAAGTTCCTCACTTGTGCTGTGTTGGTTCTCTTCCATCTGATGTATCCTTTCTGTCAAGCAAGCGACGGACACTTCACTCGCGTTGCCACTGCTCCCCTTCCGGGAGCGCTCTATGCTCGGAACGCCTTCGGACTCTGAGGACGATGGTGCGTCCAGGGCATCATCGCTCGACGTGAGGGGCTGGTACACCTCACTGCACTCACTGTCTAGGTTGTCCATAGAATTACTGTGCTGATGGTCCATGAGGGTGTTTTCATCCTGGCTCAAGAGATCCTCCACGGAACCAGGGGCAGAGCCTTCCACTGAAGAGGTCAGGGTCCCTCCTCCATCGCTCTGGTTGCCAGGGGTTATTTCTGGGCTCAGGGACTGATAACCAAACAGTTTTTCGGAATTGTCTAACCTCTGCTCTAGGGAAAAGCCCAGCGCGTTCAACCTGTCCTTTAACATTCTGTTTTCGTTTTTTAGCTGGTTGAGTTCTTCCCGGATGGCAGTATTCTGTTCCTGCAACTGCAGTAAAGTGGACTCGACATCAGTTGGCTGGTGAGCAATGATGGCTTCCTTCTCCTCAGATTTTTCATCACCCTCGGAATGATCCTCATTAATGCCCAGCTGAGCACGCATGTCTCGGAGTTCATTTCTCAAATGTAAGATTTCCACATCCTTGGTTTTTGCCAATGTGAGAAGATCTTTCACTTTGGCTTCCAAGGCAGCTTTGTCACTGATCTGATTGTCCGACTTAGACTTGCTCATGCGAACGTCACATTCCGCAGCCGTGCGGCTGCGGGAACGCTTGGCCAATGCCACGTCATTAGCTCCCTGACCCGCAGAAGGTAGTTTTTTGCTCTGGCTTAGCCGGGTACGCTCACGTAATCTTTCTCTAGTAGAACCAGATTCTTTATTACCTATGGAAGTGCTCCTCTTGGTTGAAGAACTGGTGCCTAAGTGTTTAAAACAAAGAATGGAAGGCAAAAATATTAGCAAGAAAAGGCACAGAGGTTATGCCCGAGGTCTAATCAGATGAGATCTAGAGACCTACACATTGATTCTGACCGACATTAATCTTGCGTTAGGTTCTGGTTACTGTAAAATTCCGTTTCCTCAAAACCAGATCATTCATCTTTTAATTATTAATGAAAAAGAAGTTATACACTGAATTGTATACTTTAAAAGGGTGAATTTTACAAAATGTGAATTGTATCTCAATAAATCTATTACATAAAAAAAGTTGCACATTAACTTGAATCCTAAACCATGGCTTTAAACAAATGTCCAAGGGCATAATATTCTACGGCAAGCTAGATAAAGCGGACTCTAGGATTAACCAGTCAGGTAGCAAACAAACTGTAGAAGCAGATGGTAAAGAAAGATCCCAGATGAGCAAGAAGGGAAAGGCGGCTTCTGGACGAACAAAAAATCTAAGCTACCTATGATAAACACAAAGCATGATCAAAGTAAGTGCAAAAAGTTTTTCACATCATAGCATGCCACGTACATAGTACCAATAACATTAATTATAATAAGGCTCATGTGTACTTAGCACTTGCTTTACACACACATAGATGAACACTTCACATACATTAATTTATACAAGCCTCATTATTATCATCATGAAGAAACTCACACACAGAGATGCGAAAGAATCTGCCAACACCCCACATGTAATAAGTGGATGAGCCAAAATTCAAATGCAGGCAGTCTGGCTCCAGAATCTGAAACTTAAGAAGTATGTTAGGCTGCCTCCCTAAATGTTAGAAAACAATAATGTACTAATGCTAACTAATGATGGCACATTATCAAATATGCTACATGAATCACTATTACCTGACTGCTAAAATTCTAAACCTGTGAAAACTGACATGATCATGTGTTTAATACAGGAAGAACAGGAATATGCTTACCTATAAAAACTTAAGAAATAATTAGCTGCTTTTTACTTTGTAAAATAAGATCTAGACCTAATCCCGTAAGTATTCTTAAGAACCTGATAGTTTTTTATGTGGCAGGCACCAGGCTGCAGAGGTTAAGAGGGAGAAAAAGGTCGATGTAGACAGCCAGTAATTCTGCCAGGGATGAGGTGGAGAGCAGGGGAGGGAATTCTGGCTGGCCACAGGACAGGATGAGGAAGCAGAAGTGAACAGGACACACAGCAAGGAAAAGTAAGGTCACACAATGAATGGAAGCAGCAGGGGAAGTTTTTATGGGGCCCTGAACACCAAGGAAAATTTAGTGAATCCCACAGTAAATGTTCAATAAATGTTCTGGAGCAAGAAAGACACATAGAGAACAGCATTTTTATGAAAATGAATCCAGACAATGCTAAGTGAAACATCTGAGGAAAAAGAATAGTCAAGGAGGAAGGTGGGCAGGAAGAGCAGTAAAAGTGAAGGAGGGCCTACATTTGGGGGGTGAGGTCGGGATCTCTGCAAGAACAGAGAAGGGATGATACATCTGTAACAGATTTACACCGTCAAAGTAACAAGATGAAGAGAAACAATTGCAAATGGAGGCCAAAAAAGAAAAAGGGTGGTATAACCGAAGTATTCATTCTCTCCCCCATTTCTGTAGACAGTACCAATCATCCTTCTTTTCCAAACCAAAACCCGTCCTAAGAAGGAAAAGATCTGGGCATGCCTGAAAGACAAAAGGAAAGGAGACAGTAATGAGGGGAGGGACTGATAATGCCCCAAAGGGAAAGGAGAGGTAAAGGAACAAGAGAGGAAGAGAGAGAACGTGACAAAGAAAAGCTCCCCTTCTGGGATTACTGTACCCAGTGAGTAGATGGAAGAATCTGAGTGACAGACAAGTGAAATGGTCTTAGAGAAGTCACGGGGAGTAAATAAAGGTAGAGCAGATCAACTGAAGAGTTAAGGATGTTGTTAGGGGCTCAATTGTGTCCTCCAAATTCATATGTTGAGGCCATAACGCCCAGTACCTCAGAACTGACTCTACTTGGGAAAAGAGTAATTAACGTAGAGAGGTACTTATATTACCATGGGGTTTGTTACGGTGGGCCCTAATCCAAAGATCCCATAAAGACTGGTGTCTGTAAGAAGAGGAGACCGGGACACAGACACAGAGAGAGGGGTGACCATGTGAGGAGACAACGACAGGAGAGCCAACTACAAGCCAAGGAGAGAGGCCTCAGAACAAATCAAACTGGCCGACACCTTGATCTCAGACTTCCAGCCAGTTTTGGTGAGAAACTATATGTCTGTTATTTAAGCCACCGAGTCTGTGTAATTTGTTATGGGTGCCTTAGCAAACTAATACGGATGTACAAAGTTGCCTCCAGTAGAGGCAATGGATCCAGGGAGGAGAGAACTGAATTCAGCTGGAGGGCAGGTGGCACTGGTCAGAAGGGAACCAGGGTACAAACGCGAGGGAGCTCTCCCAATAAATTCTAAAAGCTGGAAATAGGAAGAGCTATAGACGGTTATTAAGAGTACTTAATTTCCTTCTTACGACACAGGCTGTAGTGTTAAGTGTGGTGATGACCTCAGGCTTGAGCATAAAAGACCTAAGGTGCAGTCCTTGCTCCACCACCAGCTTTGAAGCCTGGTACAACGTGGTACGGTACCCAATAAATACTTTCTGAGCAAATGAATATAAGGCCTTAGGCAAGATACTTAAGCTTTAAGCATAGCTCTCACAACTCTAAAATGAGGATAATAATAGCCTCTACCTCCTATGGCTATAGTGAGGATAAAATGGAATGGTGCCTGGTGTAACAGTGCCTTCCTCATGATCATACCACATGACTATTATAACTAGCAGGGGGGTGCGATCTGGGATAGAAAGATGAGTCCACAGAAGATCAAAGTAGGAGAGAAGACAGTAGGTACACCTGGGCTACGGAAAAGTCTAATACATACATGAGGGGCTAACGGCCTAAAAAACGATGATAAAGAAGGTCTGCTATAATTTTTGCCAATGTGCTTTCATCAGCTGTATTACAAACAAATGATCTTGGGGCGCCTGGCTGTCTTGGTCGGTGGAGCATGTGACTCTCGATGTCAGGGTTGTGAGTTTGAGCCCCACGTTGGGCGTACAGATTACTTAAAAATAAAATCTTTTTAAAAATAAATAAATAAATAAAAAAAAAAAATAAATAAATAAAAACACACGATCTTGTATTTACTGAAGTTTTAAAGCGTAAGAAGTAAAATATGATAGGGGCGCCTGGGTGGCTCAGTCGTTAAGCATCTGCCTTCGGCTCAGGTCATGATCCCAGGGTCTTGGGATCGAGCCCCGCATCGGGCTCCCTGCTCAGCGGGAAGCCTGCTTCTCCCTCTCCCACTCCCCCTACTTGTGTTCCCTTTCTCGCTGTCTCTCTCTGTCAAATAAATAAAAATCAAATGTTTAAAAAACAAAAAAAGTAAAATATGATAGCATTACTCCTTGGACTACATGTTGAGTTCATTTACGGACTCCATCAAATCTAAAGTCAAACTGCTGCTAATGAATGAAGAGAGAATGGTAGAACAGGAATGAATGGATCCAGGCATTGATCATCAAAGGCTGCTAACATCTTGGAAAGACAGACAACCAGAAATGATGCGCCTACTGGTGGATGGACAACTATTATGTACGAAGGAGTCTTGGGGGGAAAAAAAGGAACCTGAATCTGTCCCATCAAGGCTCTAGATCCAATGACATTAACAGTAAATGAACAAAGGAACACGGTCAAGGACATCAAGGAGATGTGACGTCAAAATCCAGATCATGGGAAAATAGAGGTCAAACCTATATTTCTATAAAAATTAAATTGTAAGAAAAAAATAGATTTAAGGAAGAGTTAACAATTTATAAATGGACCTTAACTGAATCCTGATCCAGAGACAGTAAATATACATATGCAGTATTTACGAAAAAGTTGGAAATTTGAGGGCGCCTGGGTGGCTCAGTTGGTTAAGCAACTGCCTTCGGCTCAGGTTATGATCCTGGAGTCCCAGGATCGAGTCCTGCATTGGGCTCCCTGCTCAGTGGGGAGTCTGCTTCTCCCTCTGACCCTCCCCCCTCTCATTCTCTCTCTCTCAAATAAATAAAATCTTTAAAAAAAAAAAAAAAAGTTGGAAATCTGAATAAGTATTTCCTTATATTTATATTTATGATTTGAGGAATTACTATTAATTATTTTAAGGGCTGATAGTGGTATTGTTTAATATTTTTAGGGGAATCCTTACCTTTCAAAGATAATTACGTATTTGCGCATGAAATTATAGGACACTTGGAATTTGCTTCAAAATAATGAGGCGGGAAGGTGGATGTTAAGGAATTAAGACCGGCTGTTGGTTGACAAGGGTGATGAGTACACGGGGATGAAATACAAATACTTTTGTACATGTCGAACATTTTCTGTAAGTAATAGAACCCCTTAAATACCGCTGCACTCTGCTATTTAAACAAAAAAGCAGTTTTACTCTGAATGCCACCATACCTGTGTTGATCTTGGATTTGTTCTCCACAGTGGTCATGGCAGGGGCCGATGCTGAAGATGCTGTGGAAGGGCAGGTGCTTTTCTTTCCTTTAACACCATTAGTCACTGTCACCCCTCCAGCCATTCCAGCTAAGAGGTCATCACTGCTCTTGGTCTAGAAGCAACAGAAAATAAAAGCATATTGATTAGATGAAGCAAGAGTAAATAATATTTTGGGACTAAAAGCTCTTGGTTTTTACACTGAATTCAAGATCAAGAGCTCTACAAAGATTTTCTGACAGTTACCAAGCAGTACTTCATACTGCGCTACAGAAAGAGAACCTCTTTACTGGTTTATAAGCAATCACACACTTCTTATTAAAATACAAAAATCACGTATGTAATCAAAGACTTTATGGAAGCCTACTGTGTGCCCACATGTGCCAGAGTCAGTGAGGGTTAGGAAAAAGTGAAGACATCCTCTTCATTACTCTTTCATCTAGGACATGACTTATGAACAGGGATCATCTGAGTGCTGTCACATGGGCTCTGAGGAAAGTTCTACAATGCCACAGAAAATGTCATCCTGCAATTTCTAGAGGGAAATACCACTAAGAATCAGAAATAATCTTTATTGCTTTAAAGTAAATCAGTGATGGAACCATTACTTTGAAATTTATTTTTCTTAGAATCTGACCTAATCTTTTAGTAGTCTAATTTAAGCCAAAATTGAAAGATTTTTTTCTTAAAGCTTAGGTAATATATAAATAAAATCCAGAGAATTTAAGTTTAGAGTGAGGGTTAGTTAGCCTAAATAATCATACTACTTGAGAAAGACCCTTTGCAATACTTATTTATATTTTCCAAAGACTGAAAAAAATACAAGCTTTTTAAAAAGAAAACAAGCATCAGCTATACTTCAATTAAAAAAAAGAAGAAGAAAACAAGCACTCTGGATGAGATCAGGTATAAAATTATTACTTAAAGAAAAGATAGTGAAGAAACCTGTTTTTACTTCTAGGAATGGAAGAACAGAGGAGTTAAAAATCTGTGGGGAGAAAAAAACTACTTTTTTTAAATCAATTAATTCATTTGAGAGAGAGAGCACAAGTGGGAGGGGCAGAGGAAGAGGGAGAGAGAATCTCAAGCAAACTCCGCACTGAGATACCACAACTCTGAGTCCAGGGACACCTGGGTGGCTCAATCGGTTAAGCATCTGCCGTCAGCTCAGGTCATGATCCCAGGGTCCTGGGATCAAGTCCTGCATTGGGCTCCTTGCTCAGTGGGGAGCCTGTTTCTCCCTCTGCCTGCTTTGCCTGCCACTCCCCCTGATGTGCTCTCTCTCTCTCTCTCTCTCTTCCCCTAACAAATAAATAAATAAAATCTTAAAAAAAAAAAAAAAAGGACCTAAGCCGAAACCAAGAGTCGGACACTCAACTGACTAAGCCACCCAGGCACCCCAAGAAAAACTACTTTTTAATAAAAAAGAACCAAAAAGTTTTGTCCCATTAGGGTGAAAGCATAAGTTAGCCAACTGATTTACTATTGTTGTCTATCTGGAGCCATGTAATCATAATAAATTCTTAAGCAATCATAAATTCATCTCTACAGATTAAAATGCTTCATAAATTACTAATCTCTAAAGTCTCTTCCGGTTCTAAATGTCAGTAGAGTAGATTCTGTTCTCATCATTCAATTATAAAAGTTACAATATAATACCATTTGCTAGGTCAATCTGTCTTACTAGAGGTAGAAAGGATTAATGTTTTAAATGAATTAAACTAATTAAGCTTTGGTAATTTAGGATTGTCACATTATGAAAAACCTAGTTATATAATAAGAAAGGAGGAAGACTGCATTAATCATTAAGGACTGTTCATATCTTCAAGACTAGTTCCTGTTTATGAAATTGGTCATCAACTATGATGTAAAAAATTTGTAAATCAAATTCTACTTCCTTCCTGTCAATTTGTCCCTCATCAATTAATCAGTATATAAACTCAACATACCCTTATATTTTCAAATAATCTTTTATATTCCATTAACATAAGTTAGAATTATCTTTGAGGTAATTTTTCTTCCTTCATAAGTTAAATGACAGTAGCATACTGGCACATGAATAAACAATGGAATAGAAAAGAATCCAAAAAGAAACTGCATAAAGACACCTGATTCATGACCAAAGAAGCAGTACAGAAAAAAATTGGTTTTTCAATAAATGATACTAGGTCAACTGCATATTCACAAAAGAAAAAAAATGAATGAGCCCTATTTCACACCATATCACAAATAAATTCCAAGGCTTTCTAACTATGATTCAAAATCCTGAATGACGCAAAGAATTGATAAATTTGACTACATTAAAATTAAAATCTTAAAAAATTTTAAAAATCCTGTGCATGATTCAAAAATGAGAAACTGGGAGAGTATATTTGCAATATCTCACAAATAAACGGCTGATATCCTTAAAACACAAAGAACTCTTAGAAATCAATGGGTAAGAGGCACAAAGAAAAGTGAGCAAAATAAACAAGCACCTACAGTCAATCCCCACACAATACAAAAATTATAACCAGAATAACTCACAATAGGAGAAATGCAAATTAAACAACACTGAGATACCACATCTCACCTATCAGACTGGCAAAAATGAAAAGTTACGACACGTTCCTTTGTGAAGGATGTGCGGAAACAGGCGCTCTCTTAAGTTGCTGGTGCGAATGCAGCTGGATGTGGCCTTAGGAAAGGCATCCAGCAATGTCTAACAGAGCTACGTATGCGCTTACTTTGTTCCCAGCAACCCACCTCTATGAATTTCACCTGAAGACATACTTCCAATAATACAAAAATACATACACTTATGCACTACCGCCTTTTAAAAAAAGATTCTGTTTATTTATTTGAGAGAGAGAGAGCACAAGCAGGGGGGAGAGGTAGAAGGAGAGGAAGAAGCAGACTCCCCGCTGAGCAGGGAGCCCAACTCGGGCTCAATCCCAGGACCCTGGGATCATGACCTGAGCTGAAGGCAGACACTTAACCAACTGAGCCACCCAAGCACCCCTGCAGCATTGTCTTTAACTGCAAAATACTGGAAACACCTTGAATGCCCATACCAGGACAGTAGCTCAATAAACTATAGTACATCCATACAAAGACACATTAAAGAGAATGAGAAAGACTACTATAAATTGGTGTAAAGAGATTTCTAGAATACATTAAGTGAAAAAAAGCAAAGTGCAGAAACAGATCTAATTATGGCAACTTCTGTGTAACAAAGGGGAAATAACACAATAAATATACATGTACCCGATCATTTGTGCAAAAAGAAACACAGGAAGGAGAAAAACAAAAACCCAACTAGACTGTTTACCTCCTAGGGATGGCTAGAAGGAATGGGGAGGGGAGGGGCACTTCTCTGAACATATCTTCTCCTAATTCTGACATGTGGAACTGAACCTTAGTAGTGTTTCACATGCTCGCAGTTAATTAATTAATTAAACAAGGGTAGGGGAAACCCTAAAATGGAACACAATAGGAACAAATGGACCCAACTGCATTTCAAATAAATAACACAGCCACACAGGGTGGAGGGTAGGGGAAGAATCCAAGTATCTTCTGAAAACAGTATTTTGACTATAAATCCTCAAACTCTCAAGCTAAAGACCAAAAAACGTATACATTTTGAACTCTACCTGGTAGATTTGTTTTTGGCAGTGGTATGGTGAGCAACTCTGTAATTATTGCCTACACATTCTAGGACCGAGAAAATAAATAAATATATTATAATGAAAGCCAGGTTTCTCACTGTCGGGAGACTGGGATCACAATTACAGAAAGTGAAAAGGCTACTCTAAACACTGTCAACTGGATTTGGAAGTAACAGTGTGAACTCATAAGGTTTTAATATACATGGAGGGAAACAGACACAGAAATTGATAAAGATATGTAAGTGCACATGTGTGTGTGTTTCCTCTCTGCTAAGCAGGCTTAAAAACAACAATACACTCAAAAGCAATGAACACACCTAGTTTCCAAAGGCTTTATTTTTTTAATTTAAATTCAGTTAATTAACATATAATGTATTATTTGTTTCAGGGGTACAGGTCTGTGATTCATCACAGTCTTACTTAACACCCAGTGCTCACCAGAACACACGTTCCCAATGTCCAAAGGATTTAAGTGCCATCTTCCACTAAAAGGAACAAGACCTTCTTGAAGAAAAGGCTGACTCTGGGCTAGGTATGGAGAAATAGAAAACTTCTCATGTCAGAAACTAAGGGGTTGCTCAAAAAATAGGAACACACTGAAAGGACACCAGAGTCAGCTTGAAGGGGCTCCCACTGACCAAACAGGGGACGATATGAGCATCAAAATAAATGATGCTAACCACTGACAGCCCACTGAGTAAGAATCCATTCTTCCACACTGACATAAATGAATATAGGTGGAGCAAAAATGAAAACTCCTTCTTTGTTTTTTTTGAAAACTTCTTGTAAGTAGAATGCCAACTACTAAATGTAGAAAGAATGATGGAATTCAAAAACTACTACTTGGCAAAAATCATACTAATAACTGATTCTGGAAAGGATCATAAAGAATTGCTAAAACTAGGGTATGAACGTCTGATGCGAAAGAGAGTATTTACAAAGTCTCAAAGTATTTTTGACAAGATACTTATGAATTACAAAAGGAACATGGTAACCTGATAGCGGAAAAACCAGACATCACCTTAACCAAATTAAGTTAATATCACCAGGAATGGAATAGATTGACACCATGTGCTTCTGGAAATGCTGCACCAAGGACATGTGGCTTCTGTGGAACTTCTCCCAAAAACCTATAACCCCAACCTAATCACAAAGAAACACTGAGAAACCTAAATCTGGAGGACAGTCTACCAAATAAACTGGCCCACATTCTTTAGTAATAATGTACAGGTCACAAAAGATAAAGATTGAGGAACCGTCCCAAATTTAAGAAGAAAAGAAGAGCGTGACAACTAAATGTAATTCACTATCCTGGATTGAAAACTGGACCAGAAAAAAAATGTTTCTTTTTTGCTAAAATGGACATTAGCACAATTGGTGAAATTTAATTAAAGTCTAGAGATGAGAAACTAGCATTTTATCAATGTTCACTTCCAGATCTGGTAATTGTACTATGGTTATAAAAGAG